CCCAGGTGCCTCACTCTGCGCTTATAAAGGTGAGCCATCGCAATCCTGCAAAGCCTGATCCGGCGTCATCAGAGAAGGAGCTTTTATTCTACTGATATGCTGGAGCAAGTAGCTGAGAAGAGGCACGTACATCCAGTCAGTACTGCCAGTGTAATTCTGGAAAACTCCCCCTGTGAGGCTGTTAATACCCACCTGCACATTACCTAGTGAAAGGCCCATGGGGCCAGGCCCTGCTCCATGGCAGAGCACACGTGGTTAACAAGTGATGGATAGCAATTGGCAATGGCATATTTCCAGATGGTGATGGGCACCTGCTTCTTTACACAGAGGGGAGCTTTCTTGCACGTGCGGCTGTGGCTAAGTGCCTGTTGATGTCCTGAAGCTTTGCTGCTACAGCTCGTCACCCCAGATCTGCAACTCTCCTATCCCAGCAGCTGCTGCTGGTACGCTGAACCTGGAAGCGGTGCTTTGCGGAGCAAATCTGCTCTCCAAAAACATGTGGAGAAGTGCTTTTTTGTTTTAAGGTGGCTGCCTCTTTTGGTCCCCCTAATGCTCTTGCTATAAAGTTTGCTTGACTCTGTCCAGCAGTTTGATTAATATTTATGGTGTTTTCTCCAAGCGCTGTCAGGCAACATAGAGAGCAGTGCTGGGCAAAAGCAGGAAGGATAATGATAGAAAATAAAAGGAATCCTCAAATCTTGCAGTTCAACTGTCTTCCAGCTTGAAGAGTGCTGGAAAGTACACGGCACAGGGCACCACAGCCTGGCTGACCAGCATGCAGAGCATTTCTTCCTAAACACAGGCATCCTGCTTGCCTGTCTCAATCGTGAGCAGAAACAAGACCTGTTCATTACTTGTCCAAACCATCATTGTGAAGCGCTTTGTGCGGCTGCACGAAATCCCGCAACAAATGGAAAGTGCAGACCTGCTCCAGTACATCTCTCAGCAACAAGCCATAGGGTTGGGGCTTAACCAGACAACATGCAAACAAAGGGGTGGGACTCGGTGTATAATAAGAGGCTTGATTGAATGGGGCCGCCTTAGTTCCAGCTTTTTACGTTGGGGTATTTTTGTCTTGACCAAACGGCAGCTTGGAAACAGGAACCAGCGAAGCAGCTGCTTGCTCTGTTGAACACTAGTGGTTTGACATCTCGCCTCTTCTAGCTTTCTTCCCTCTTGTCTTGTGATAGCGCAAATAGCGAGGAAAGCAGTCGCACACATCTCATTTAGATGGGGCTTTGCCTCTTTCTGCACACAGCCGGATCCACGCGAGAGCACGTTGCAGAATGTGTCTGCTTATGCTGCTTGGTTAGTGTAAAACCGGTTTCTGTTTTCTCATGAGTAATAAAAGTTTCTGCAAAGTCCGTCTCGGTACAAGATGGTTTGCTCGGTTTTATTGTTGGCGAGGCACCGTATGGTGACTTTAAATAGCGTTCCATTATGCAACCACTTCTAGTAGCTAAGCAGAAGCGCTGGGTTATGTTTTTAGTCATTAAATCAGTGCTCTGAGACTGCTTTCATTTCACCTCCACCCATTCTGATTTTGTGGCAGGATTCCAGGTCATTGATTGGTTTCTTAAAATCTCGCTTTTTTCTAACTTTAGGAATTGCCAGAAAAGTAGCAGTATGCAGTGCTGAGCTGAAGCAAGGGTTTTAGAGTGCAAATACAATCTGCATATGATTCTTCCAGTACGATTGTTTTTTTTTTCAGCTGCTCTTTTGTATGTGTTGTGGAAACTTTAGTTTGGTCTTCCAGTCCGTCCCATGCTTTAAAAGCATTTTAATCTGTGGCACACATGCCCTCTCTTCCCATGCTTCAGATGCTCTGGATTTCCCCCAGTCTTTGCTAGAGGTAGGCTGAATACGCTGAATTCATTGTTGTCACTCGATTTACTCACAGTGATTTAAAGCAGGCCTTTGTCTGTAAGGTCCATAGGAGCGTCTGTGCAGACTTCCTGCTCATTCAGAATAAACGGTAATTACCATAAGGCACGTGGTCTTCTGGGGCCCTGTGAAAATGGAAAGCACAGCTGAAAGTTTCCCAAACAGATGGTTTTGGCAGTGCACAGGAAAGTTCACGTTCACCCACCTAGCTTTCTGTCGAGAGGACGTGGGATTGATGAGCCAGCTTCTTCCAATTGCATCCAGCCCATGAGATGGTTAAAAACCACATATCTCCACTATCATACTGAAACTTATTTCTGTCTTTCTCTGCAGGTTGGGGGGACCAGATCCGCTGGACTATGTTAGCATGTACAGAAACTTGGGGAACCCAGCGCTGAATGTTCCTGAGCACTGGCATTATGTCAGCTTTGGGCTGAGTGACCTGTATGGAGACAACCGCGTACACGAGTAAGTGCTTTATGTATTTAAGTGCCTGTATTTTAATACTGCGTGTTCTGCCTTGTGCGTTTGTGAGCAAGAAAAGTGCAGCAGGCGGTAAAACCCCATTGCTTTCTGCTGAGGCTTCAATCACATGGATCCATTGCCCTGAAGCTGATGGCTGTCATCCTGCATAGGGACGTGTGCATCTACTGCATCTGTGTGCGGGGGTCTTCCATGTAGGCGTCGTTGCAGGGCTGGGGCCTTGGACACTGCTCGTTGCCTGGTATATTCTGTATTTTTGACTTGTGAGGAAATTTAGTGTGGTGGGGGTGGGCTTCTTAATATTTTATTAATGTTCTTACTGCTTGTGTTTCACTGCGGTCCTATTCTTCACCCCGCAGCCAGCACTCGTTAACTGCTCTGCCTGTGAGGCTGCCGTCAGGGCACCTTCTCTCAGGCTTGTGGTAAAGTCCGTATTACTTCTTGGAGAAGTAGCAAGCCTAGCTGTCAGACTAGCTTGGAGTGGTAAGTGATTCCTGTTGCTGGAAGTATCTGGCTGTTGTAGAGCAGACAGCGTAGTGAAATTCTGGCTTGCACGGTCTTGCAGCCGGAGGGCGAAGACTCTGGCCGGATGGTGCTGCCAGGGTATTAACTAATTCATCTAAGTTTTCTGTCTTGTGTCTCATCTTGGTTGAGTTTCTGCCAGCAGGCTCACTCAGGTTTGTCTCACAAGAGCAGGCACACAGTCAATTCTTTAACCTCTCCTACATCCACCAGGCCCAAGGCCAAGCGAGTACGTGCCCACAGTCAGACATCTAAGGTCTTTCAACAGAGTTGGTTTTCAGCACAGCTAGTATCACGCGCAATCTGAATTTAGACAGAGCACCTGTCTTGTTGGGATCTCGGTGGAAAAGACCCTCCTCCATTAGCTACTCGGTAAGAAGGCTGGCTATGAGGAAAGCCAGAGAAGAGAAAGAGAGGCTGAATTAGGATATGGTTTCCCTCAGTTGCAGAACAGATCCTACCCTGGCCATTCAGGGCTTCTTAGGGAATCGTAGAAAAGAACTGCGAGGGCATCTAGTCCAACCCACTGCTCAAGGCAGGATCATCCCTATCCAAACCATCCCAGCCAAGTGCTTATCTAACCCCCACAAGCAGCCCTTGCATGGTAAGTTGACCCTCTCGAATCAAGCGGAGTTTTCATCCATCTCTCTGCAGCCACGTGGGGTCCTGGGCCGCTGGAGCAACAGGCTCTGGGTTTCACCGCCGTCACTCCGATTTGCCGCTGCTTGCAGGCTTGTCAGCCCGAGCCTGGCCTTCGGGGCACAGTGCGAGGCTTGTCTGTTTACTCAGACTCCTGGCTGAGGGTGTGGAGCTGGCTCCATCCTGAAGGCATGTAGCTGGGTTGTGTAAATGCACGTTGCGAATAGAAAAGTAAGCCGTGCAAAGCAGGGCTGTCCAGTTGGCAGCTCTGCATGCAGCTGGCCATGGGTTAAATTACAGCCTGCCCCCCAGCTCCCACCTGCCTGCCGCTCCCCACATTGCTCCAATTGCAGCAGCATCCAAAGGCTCCAGGATCACCTTCCCTCTGGCTTCCCCTTCCTGCCCCTGCCCTATGGTGGGGCAGTGCAGTGCAGCCTTCAGTGCCAGAGGAGCCTGCAGCTTGGGGTGCCCGAGTGACATGGTGAACTGGGTGGTTTGCAGCTGGGAAGCTGTGGGTGAGTTGGGGCATGAGAAGCAGCAGCAGGGTTGTCTGGCGCAGTGAGGAAGCGCAGGGAGCAGCAGTAGGGGAGGGGTTGCATGGTGCAGTGGGGAGGCTCCCGGGGTAGGGGCAGCGCTGGAGGTGGAGGGGCCCGGGCACACAGGGTAGGGAGGGGGATGCAACCCCTACTACCATGGTCGAATGGGCGAGTGGCTTCCTGCCACTTAGAAATTAGACAAGCCTGATGTAAACAGTCAGCCTTTTGCCTGGTTTTAACCCAAACCCTGTCTTCATTAAAAACCAAGCTGGTAGGCCTGGAGCATCCCATGTCACTCTTAGCCTACAGCAGGACTTTCCTGCAAAGCCCAGGGTGAACAGCGTGGGGAATCTAGCAGACTTACCTTGTGAAATCCAGAGCCATCTCCCAGTCGGGAGTGAAACTTTCCGACTCTTCCTGTTGTCAGACAACTTGGCCGAGAAATCCCAGATTTGTTGGTCTCGCAGGAGAGCAGTTCCTTTTTCTGGTTGAGGAGGAGGAGAAGTATTCGGATAACCCCATTAGAGCGATAACCAGAGAGCCGTGTCCTGAGAGGGCTCTGGAGCACCGTGGGAGAGTAGTCCTGAGAAGAGTTTATTGCACAGCTTGCGAGCTCTGCCAGGACTCCTTCCCCGAGCACTCTCTGAGCCAAAAGATCTCGGGTTCAAGAACTAATTTTCCATTTTTTTTCTTTGACAATGCATTAATGTTATGCGCCCTCGGGGCCCAACCTCTTATCATCTCTAATGTCAGGTTTCCAACACTTGCAACTGTGTGTCTGAACTTCAGCAAGACTTTTGACAAAGTCCTGCATGACCTTCTCATCAATAAATTGGGGAAAAGTGGGCTAGACAAACCTGCTGCAAGGTGGATAGACACCTGGCTCAGTAACTGCAAACAAAGGGTGATTATTAACAGGTCCATGGCAGAAAGGCTGGAGATTTCGAGTGCAGTCCCACAAGGGTCTGTTCCTTGCTCAGAGCTGTTCAACGTGTTCATTAATGATTTGGATGCTGGTATAGGAAGCTTCTTGAGCAAGTTTGCAGATGACACAAAACTGGGAAAGATTGTGAATGTGTAGGAGGACAGGAGCACAATTCAGAAGGATCTTGACAGACTGGAAAGTTGGGCTGGAGCCAACGGTGAAGACCAATGCTGTTAAATGCAGGGTGGTGCATCTTGGGGACAGTAATCACAAATCCAGCTATGAAATGAGTGATCCCTGGCTGGGTGGCAGCACCATGGAGAAGGATCTGGGAGTCTTGGTAGTTCACCAGCTCAATAGGAGTCTGCAGCATGACGCAGCTAGGCGAATAGCGAATGCAGTTGCAGGCTGCATCAAAAGGAGCAGCAGGTGCAAGATGTGGGAGGTGATAGTGCCTCTCTACCCTGCACTGGTTAAGTCTCATCTAGAGTATTGTGTGCCAGTTGGGGCTCCTCATTTCAAAAACGACAGGGAGAAGCTAGGGTCCAGAGGTGGGTGACACATATGATCAAGGGCTTGGAAGGCGAGTCATACAAGGAGAGGTTGTTCAGCTTGCAGAAAAACTGATTAAGAGGGGACATGACAGCAGTCTTCACATATCTGAAGGACTGCTGTAAAGAAGAGGAAAAACACTTTTTTTTGTCATTACTGTGGAGAACAGAATGCAAACCAGTGGCTTGAAGTTGTAGTAAAATAGGTTTAGGTTGGAGAGCAGGAAAAATTTCTTCACTGTTAGAACAAGGAGATAGTTGGATAGATGCCTAGGGAAGCTGTAGCTGGAGTTGTTCAAGAAGAGGTTGGCCAAGCATTGGATAGGGATGGCCTAGGAGTAACTATGCAATGGGTATTTTCCATGCTCTTGGGCTTTGCTGGTGCTCCAAGGGGCCAGGAAGAAATTTTTGCCCTCCTGTTGCTACACACATCAGGTGGGTTTTTTTTCATCTTCCTTAGAAGCATTGGATGCTGGCTGCAAATCCCCAAGAGCTGGGGATTTTGCCTGTGGTGTACCAGTGCTCCTGCTGGGACTCAAACCCAGAGGGTCCTGCCTAGCGGGTCTTGCCTCTCCACTCAGGGTCAGGCCAGATTTGGGCTCAGAAAGGAATTTTACCCCATGGTCAGAATGGTATCGACTGTGGGGGGTCATTATGTACCTATTTACCTTGATGTTTTAGCTGATTTTATATTATTTTCTTTTTTATTGTAATCTGGCCTGAGTGAGTCTCTCTTTTTGCAAAGGGTGGCACATGCATCTAATAAATAGGTCTGCTGAAAAACAGGGTTTCTTAATCCAGACAGAAATCGGTAGGATTCTGGAAAGCCAGGCACATATTCATAACTACGGTGCTGCCAGGCTTTTGCAAAATAAAGAGCATTGTGTTGCAGACTCTCCTCTTCTTTAAGAAAACCTGCCGCCCATCTGAAGGCAATGTAAGCATTTAAATCCATCTGCCAGTGACCCCGGGTGGCGCCCAGCCTATCTCTCTCCTGGTAATGCTTTACCATTTAGCCCCATTATAATTCAGTATTAGCTGAAATGGCTTTTTTTTTTTTAAGAGTGAACCTATGCTGAATTGGAGGCCCCTATATTTTTATTAATAATGGAATAGCAAACAGATGTAGCAAGCAAAGTGAAAATGTTGACTTTAATTTATATTTTTTAATAAGAACCTGAAAAGTCTGAAGTGTAGCTCGCCCTGTGCCTCCTTGCTGACAGATTTATTTTCAGTTAAAACAGCACTATTTCCTGCACTGCCCAAGTATCGGTTATGCTCCGCTTAGAAATCAGGTCTGTTTTGACCGGTCACAGCATAAGGTGGAAGAAAGAGGAGAAAAGTGGGAGACCCCTTTTCATTTCAGAAACACTCAGAGCGTTTCATGGTATAATGGCAACCACAATACCAGCTGTGCTGGCTTGATTGCCATCAAAATCCTAAATCAGGACATCGTGACAGCGTTATGGAACCGCAGGTCTTTCACCAGGGCTGCGTGAAAAGCGCTTTTATGGAAAGCCTGTGTTTCTAACCGGCTGCGGCTCACAGCCGGATGCCGCAGAAACCCCCTCTCCTAACCTTCTGAAAAGGGTTCTCCCGTGTTTGTTCGAACGTCCCGGCTGATTTTTAATATTGAAAGTTGTTTGCTGTTTTTCTTAGGGAAGAGCCCTCGCTGCCTTAAAAATGGCAAAGTCCAAGGAGAGTTGTATGGTCACATGTTGCTTGAGTGGTACAGAGATCCTGTAGTGGCGGCAAGGAGGTTTACTCTAGCTTTCAAACACAGTTGAAACTCTGCTGCTGGTAGTAGTGTTT